AGAGTGGGCGCTGTGGACGACAGCCGGCTGCCCACTGGAGTGCCGAACCGTGCTCCACGCACATTTGCATGATGGTGCAGTGGAGACCAAGATAAAGCAGTATCATCACTACAACTCACGTTTACAAGGCTCCACTCAAAACCAGAAAGATTCGAAGTCCGACGGACCGCTGCCACCGTAACGCCGGCCGTTTCAAAAAGCCCTCTTTCCCAGCCTTAGAACACTTTCGGCAAGCAAAAGAGGCAAAAGAGTGGATGTGGTGAACGTACACCACATGGGCACCCAGTATAACACGGCAAGTGGACCTCCAGCTTGAGAGAATAATCCAAGCGCAGGAATACGACAGCAGCGATCCTCGAGCTACAACATCTTTCGTGAACCCACAGACATCGCCCCAAAGCGGCTCACATTCGCAGAAAATTATTTAGCTTGGGAATAACTTCATGTGCCGCAATCCTAAAACTCACCTTGTTTTCACGTTCTTCTCTGGTCGCTTCGATTCGTTTGTATTCTGTAATGAATTTGTCGACATCTTCTTCAAGCACAACAGCCCCTTCAATTCTGAAAACAACTCATGATGTCTAATACTCGCCGTATTTAACAAAATCCAAAACTTCTATTGAAATTACCAACATAGGGAAATTCGTGCATGAATTAAATTCCCATCCGACAAGCGCTGGAACACATTCCAGACCTCCCAAACGTCGAGCAATAGATACAAGACCGGGGAGACGCAGATGAACAGTTCCAACTGGACACATAGATGGCACATACATGTATACATTGCCGAAATCGTTTCGTGGAATCTTGCCCTAAATGCTAGCTGGTTTATCTATCGTTATATTCACCAAATCGAAACGATAAGCACTGATGCTCTGGGGCCTTATTCGTTTGACATGAAGACAATGTGCAGCTAGGGCGGGCGGTTGTTGGCAACGTAAGACAGCGTTCAGACTTCGCAACGACAGCGTTCGCGCCTTCAACGCGATCGATGCAGTCGAAAGCATGCGTATCGATCGCGTCGAACGCGCGACCGAAGCGCTGCCGTCGCGAAGTCTGAACGCTGCCTAATCGGGAGAAGGACTAGGTGGGGTGCGGCCAAACCCTCTATCGCAGCCTTTCCACCAATGACGCTAGCAACAACCGCCCACCTCTAGCTATCGTGCACAGCCTTCACCGTGGATTGGAACAGCGAGTTATTACTGAGAATCCTTCCAATCAAACTATACTGTAGTTCGCTGCGGACGGTTGGGCGTGTCAGTGCGGCTGCGTTTGGCGCGGTGCCAAACTCGTTCTACACCAGTTGTTGAAGCGGGCAAGTGACAATACTGTATCATATGCTTCGTACTCGTTTTCTACCACTTTTTGTCGCATGCGCTCTTCAACAAGAAGGCAGAGAACGGCTCTGATAGGGTGACACACTCATACTGGCTGACACGCCCAACCGTCCGCAGGGAACTAGAGTGTAAGTGCAACCTAATTGCGGCTCAAACACCTTCAGAAAGAAAAGTGAAATGTAGTAGAGGTAAACTCGCATCTATCACTTTTGGTCGTCGGAATGGTTCAGTCTGCCAATACCCAAAGACGTCCAAATATTTTTGCTCACGCTCTTCAGCCGGAACACGCAAATTTGGCCGAGCTTTCACCACTTTGTATGCTTTCTCCCCTTCCTAAAAGAGTTTAGTTTAATCCAGCAACGAGGAAACGGTCCACCTTTCCACCCCATTGTACCTTCACGCTCCTGGCCATCTTTATCCAGTTTGTTGCACTTTGCAATGTATATACTGTGGACCGAGGGTATACCTTATGACCTCGAACCTCTCCCAAAGGCTTTTGATCTTCCGCTCTCGGATAAAGACCTTCGAACTTCAGAAGATCCTTCTCCAGAACATATCTATCGAGAAGTAGCTCTTATGTAAGCATCAACAACACATTTAGATCCCACTTACAAAGGGTGGTTCTTATACTCAGACAAGGTGGCTGGTAGAGGTTTGTTAACAAGCTCTTGCCGAAGCTGAACATCTTCAAGCTGGGCTCTCTTCGGTTCTGCTCGAATCATCTGAAAAGCTAGTTGAAGTTAGCGATACCAGGCAAATCAAACATAGAGCCTCGTTCGCTGTGGAAGGGGCATATCAGGCAGGATGGGTTTAGCGCAGCGCCACAGTTATACAATCGTTGAAGCGAATAAGCGACAACAGTTGGCAGAAAAGACTGATCTGAATGTCTGCATCGCAGTCACTTGTTCGCTTCATTAAAGATAGAAAACGGTTTGGCACGGCTCCATACCCATCCCACTTGCAACGCCCCTTCATTTGCAGCAAACAAGACTGTAAAAAAAGGGCTGAGACTGGACAGACGTATGGGCAGCAGAGGCTCCTAAAGCTAATTAACGTATGTGTCGATTAAATCGACTTCGAAAGTTAATATAGCTTCCAACAAATTAACTTACTTTCTTTCTGAGTGTTCTTGCCAGCCAACTTTGATCAGTTCTGTTTCGACGGAAGTTCGGATGCGAGAAGTCTGCTGCATATCGAGCGGTTACTTCACGTACGCCACCCTCTATAATACTCGGGGTGAAAATCCAAAAGGTAACATTGAACGCTGTTAAACTCTCTATCCATAAACCAGAAATTGTTTTTGCTTTTGTTATTGTCTGAGCACTCGGTGACTGAGAAACACTTCATGGA